CGCCCGCACCGCACCCCCGCCCACCCCAGCAGAATCTTTTCTGATTGTGGTTGTTGTCACGCAGGGTCTCAGGCTAGCCTTGAACGCCCTCCTGCTTCCTTCCACCTCCCAAGGGCTGGGATTACAGGCATGCACCACCATGCCCATGGGGACCGTACTTAAACTCCACTCTTTTTCTCACTTCTTTCATCCTTGGCAGTACTAGGGATGGAACCAGACTCTCTCACATGTGAGGCCGGTGCTCTAACCATTGACCTATCTCTCTAGCCCCAGAATAAATCTTGAGTTTTATAAGAAAAGATAAAATCCTACATTCCACTAGAAAAAAAAAGGGGGGCCTTTGATTGCAGCATACACACAAACACACACACACACACACAAATAGCCTTTTATTTTTTATTGTCTCAAATTATGCTTCTGTGTGCTGTAAATTAAGCAGACCGAAGAGAACATTTCTCAGTAAGGTATGTGTTGGGGGTGGCCTTCCATTTCAAGCCAGTGTAACTTACTAATGTCTTGTAGCCATGTCCTAAATATATTAGTTACCACTTGTATCAACAGGGTTTCTCCTGAAATGTCACTATCTCCTTTTTATTTGTTTATTTTTGCAATGCTGGGAGGAACCTATGACCTCAGGCAAGCTAGGCAAATACTGGTCACACCCTAGGCCCTCTTTCTATTTTGATTACTTAAATTGGTGGGGTAAGGTGAGAGAGACATTCTAAGAGAAAGAACTTAAACACACTAAAGAAACAGGTTCAGAGAGCTGCAGTGGACACAAACCAAATCCATTTCCACTTTGAAAGAGATTTCAGAGCAGGAAAGAAACAGAGGCAGTAGTAAATGGCACTGTGGGGCATAAATCTATCAGAGAGGTTTAAGCTTTCTGTTCTCTTCTACAGTTGCTGGGAGGATCCTCTATTCTGATTAAACCAGGAGAGGCCTACATCGATAATCTGAAAAACTTGAAATCTAAGTGCACCAAAATTCAACTTTCTGAATGCTGACGTGATACTGTAAGTGGAAAACTCAGCTGACCCCATGTGATAGGTCAGTCAAAATGTATGCAACACTAAAAATATAAAATTATCTTCAGGGACTCAGAAGTTAAAAGCATTCACTGCTCTTACAGAGGACCCAGGTTCAGTTCCCAGCACCTACATGGTAGCTCACAAAGCACACACACAAAAATAAATAAATAAATAAATAAATTCTCATTACCCACATGATGGCTAACAACTGTCCATAACTCCAGTTCCAGGGGATTTGACACTGCATGACATAGATACCCTTACATACATGCAGGCATAACACGTCTCAAAAAGACAAATAAATAAATAAATAAATAAAAATTACCTTCAACCTTTAAGTCCCAACACTTAGGAGGCAGAGGCAGGTGGATCTCTGAGCTATGGTGCGATCCTGCCTCAAAAATAAATTTTAAAAAATTATCTCCAGACTTCATGTGTAAGGTATATATGAAACATGAATTTCATGTTTAGACTTGGGTCTTATCCAAAATGCAAGTGTTCTAAAACATGAAACATTTCCAGACCCAAGCACTTCAGAAACTCAACCTGTACTTCCAAAGTCTAAAGAAAGTTATCAGATTAATTATAACAAATCTTTTGAGAGTCGGCATTAGGAGGAAGTAAACATGGATTGGGAAACGGTTGATGAATGGCAAGTGGGCAGCACACCACAAAGCAGGCTTGGAGACTCTAAGTCACAATATAGGCATTGAGTTTAGCCAAGACTTAAACTGAAGACTAATGAGAGGGTTAACCAGGGTTAACCAGGTTCATACAATGGTGTGTCCTTTTCTGGAGTTTACTCAGTTGGATTTCTCCTTTCCCAGCTGTGATTCAAACAAGTAGTCAGATAAACTAATCCAGAACACATTTTGATACCTGATAAACTGTAAGTAATTTCTAGCTGACCTTTTTCTTTGCTACTGAAGAGAAAGCAAGGATATTCAGAATTGCTAGTATTTCTTCTTTAGGATCATGCAAGTAAAAATAATTAAGAAAGCCTCCTTGGGCTAGGTGTGGTGGCATATGCCTTTAATTCCAGCACTTAGAAGGCAGAGCCAGGAGGATTCTGTGAGATGGAGGCCAGCCTGGTCTACATAGCAAGTTCCAGGCCAGCTGTGATTCAACAAAAGACAAACAAAAAAGAAAGCCTCCTTGAGTGGGTGGGACAGCACATACCTTTAATCCCAGCACTGTGGAGGCAGGGGTGGGGGGTAACATCTCTGTGAGATGAGTTGCAAGCCAGCTGAGGCTACAGGGAGACCCTGTCTCAAAAAAAAAAAAAAAAAAAAGACAAACAAACAAAAAAAAAAAACCACAAAAAACCAAAACAACAACAAAAGCAAGAAAGACTCTTCCTCCTCATCTGTATACTTGTGAAGATCTCCAGTAAAAATGCCAGAGCAGCTCTGCTTCTCCCAGAATTCCTGGTCTATCAGAGACTCTATTAATTTTATTTATATACTCTGTGTGCATTTATTTATCTAGGAAAGCTTCCTAGATAATCAGTCTTCTAATCAAGGACCTATATTCCTACACATATATGTCATTTACCACTCAAGTTTGCACAACTATTATATATATATATATAGTTAGGGGTCAGTAAAATTCCCTAAATTGACCACTGGGACCCTGAGTCTCAGTAAAAAGGAGTGCTTTATTGGAACCAGCCGGTTGGGGACACAGACAGTCTAGGGAGTTGTACTGTGACCCTGAGCAGTGAAAACGCAGGGCTTTTAAGCAGAAAAACCACAAAGCAGAGGATGTCCATAGAAACTATAGACAGATTAACCAAGAAAAGACTGGAACAATCTAGCTAGGGCTGATTTCCAGAGACTTTACCTATACAGCCATTGGCTGTCTTACTTGGGGCAGAACGTTCTCTCTCTTCTGCCCCAGTTTATTCCCACAGAGACCAACACAGATATATCAAGTATACTGTCATTGGCTAGCTCACCTGGGGCAGAACATTCTGTCTCTTCTGCCCCAGACCATTACCATAGAAATCATAAGCAGATACCAGGAAAGGGTTTGAACAAGGGGATTTCCAGAGTCAAGTGGAGGGTAGTTTTTTTTCTCAGAGGATAGGGAGGGGTCTGAGGGGCACTCTCTTTCCAGATAGATAGATAGATAGATAGATAGATAGATAGATTTTTTTTTCTTTTTTCTTTTGAACTACCTATCAGTGGTAGAGACCTCAGAGTAAAGGGCATTCAATGGCCTCCTCTACCTTGATCCCCTGGATTGGCTGAATTTGGTGTTATAACAATTCCAGGTCAAATTTTTTTTTTAGATTCAAGTACTTGCAATTCCCAATCAGTAAGTTCTTGCTATCACTTTTGAGATGAGCTACAGGAGGAGCAAACAGTGTCCAGGAGTTTAAGGAGATTGATTCCCTAAGCAAAGAGTAGGCTTCAACTGTTCCCAGACCAAAATCTGAAAAATGTTAGGAGCCTGAAGGGAATCAGAAGAGAACAGTTGTCCATCAAAGAATCATTTTTAGATGTACCCACACAAACCACAAACCCTGCCAAGACTGTGTTTCTAAAGGTTAGTTTCTCTTTTAGAGATCAAGTGACAAGGGAGAATCAACAAGTGCCAAGCATTAGAATGAACAGATTAAGAATCTAGCTAGCATGTGCCCTCACATTAATTAGGCAACATGTTTCTCAATCATTTTCATCTAAAAGTAACACATAGGATATTTGATTGTAAAATACCCAACATCAAATTGTAAGGCTATGCTCCTTTCTAAATAAAGCCATTATGACTATGACTTCATCAGTTAAAAGAAACAAGATATAGCTGGGCATGGTGGCACATGCCTTTAATCCCAGCACTTGGGAGGCAGGGGCAGGCAGATCTCCGTGAGTTCAAGGCCAGCCTGGTCTCCATGGTGAATCCAGGACAGCTGGGGCTACAGGGAGACCCGGTCTCAAAAAGACAAAAAAAAAGAAAGATGTAATCAAGAGGACATGGCCTTTCATGACTTCAAACATAATCTCCTTCATATTTCCTTTTCTCCAGTATCAGACATACCTTCTAAGAACCTAGATTACTGAAGACACTAGAACTGAACAACATGGAAAATGTGCTAACTTTGGAAACACCCACAAAGATCAGACACAAAAGACAGCTTTTCCTTTTTTTCCTAAGACATGCCATCCTTGCTCTCTATCTCCATTCAAAAATAGCTGGAAGATTAAAAAGTAACGTTTGATCAAAGAACATTAACTGGTTAGATAGATGTCTCAAGCTGCAAAGAATCATGCATAGATAAATGTGAAGGGCTTTCACTCTGTCTCCACTCTGATAGAATTTGTGTAATAAAATTTTAAACCACAGCTTAGGAAAAAAATCTGTGAGTACTTCAACTGATTGTTCATGCTGTTTAACATGCCATTGTTTTGCATGATTCATCCCTAAAATACAGCAAATATAAGCAGCAATCTGAAGAAGCACATAGCGCTTTGGCCAGATCACCACCAGGAGGGAGGGACTGCAGCAGAGGTGGTCAGTGAAAGTAGTTAGAGATAGCCTAAGGCCAATGCCACAGAGGCAACCTTGACAAGAAGGACAGCCTCACACCACCTACTCTCCAATGCCCTCCTCCAGAGTGTGGCAGAGCAATTCTTTCTCTATCACTGGTCAAAGATGGTTTTCAAAGACTACACAGACTTAGCTTTGAAATTTTCTTGATTTAACCCAAATTCCATTTGTGCGAAGGTTTTGTGAGTGTCCGGCAATCACATCTTTATAACAGTAAAGGCTGGTTTTGAAGTTATTAACAGTAGGTCGGGAGGATATTAACGTGGGAGGTAGGGGGGCAGACAGACAGACAGAAAGGAGGCACTAATCTTAGATGTGAACAAGCCACACACCAAAGATGTCCAAAGCATCAGTTGTGATTTCTTGCACCTGAATGGTGGGAAACATAACGCTTCCACTCATCAACTCAGTCGGTGCAGCCAGGACACAACCCCTGCCAGCCTACAAGCCTTCATCCCAGCCTGAGCCGCCCCATTTCTGATCCACCCTTAACCACGGAAGGCCCTGAGAGCCCAGCTCCCTCCTATTCCCCTGCTGACGCCCCGACCCCGGCGGTCACAACCATCTCGGAGGCGACTCCGACTCCCGACTATGTCATCAGAACACCTGGCCCTCAAAGCCCTTCGCCTTCTCCCCTCCGCGGCCCGCCAGTCCCCAGCCGAGTCCGGGTCCCCGCTCCGAGTCGCAGGTGCCCTGCCCACTAGGTCCCACACACGCCGGCTCTCTGCGCCCCATCCTCTAGGCTCTGTACCACGCCTCAGCCCTGAGCCGGAGCGCCGCGCCTTCGGGCCTAGTCAAGGACACCGCGGCAGCCCGGCTGTCCTCCCCCTCGAGGGACACTCACCAGACGTGACAGGACACCAGTGGCAGTAAAGAGCTGGCCACAGAAGGACGAGATGCGCGGTGCCTCCCGCCCTTTGCAGCTTTATAGCCACCTACACACCCGACTCCGGCACTGCCGGGAGGCGGCTGGCGAAAAAAAAAGGCACGTCCCCGCAGCCAATCACGGAGTTCAGAGTCGCCCATTTGCGCCCGCCCCCCAGTCCGCTTTCTACCAATCGGAAGGAGGTGAGACTCTGTGACTCGCTAGGGTTTTCCCTCGCGGCTGGAAGGGCGGGGGAGGGGGCGGGGACAAGGTCTGAGGGCCGAGGAAGTGGGGTGAGACGGTGACGTAGGGTGGCCCGAGAACACGCCTGCCAATGACCTGGCGGCGAGAGACGGCGAGAACCAACGGGAGCAGAATGAGAGGTTCTCTGACCAATTGGAGCTCAGTGATCGGAGATGGGAGCCAATGGGAACTCCACGTCCACTGGGGAGAGATGGTCAAGTGTGGGAGGCGAGATGGTCCCTGCTTGAGAGTCTGTCAGGTTGCCTAGCAACCATAGCCAGGCTTCACCTGTGAAATATCAGAAATACTTGATAGGAATTCAAATCGCGGCGTTTTCTAGTCTCTAGAACGGCAAAGTGCGCCAGTATTCCAAGGTACAGCACATTGCTTCACCCACATTTTACAATTTGTAAAATTCTAACTATTCTAAATACCCAATTTAAAACAACCTTTACTTTTATAGAAATTGCTGTTAAAGCAGCTCTTCCTAAGTAAACCTAAAATATGATATTTTCGTTATTAGGATCATGCAGGTCTTGCCTGAGACAGTGTGTTAATCTAGGTCAGTGATTTTTTCTAGGCATCTGACCCATTGTTCACCGAATCTTCTGAGCTTATTGTGGTAGACTACTATTACATTTATTTAGTCTTTCCAAACACTAAATGGGATTAAAGGTGTGCGCCACCACACCCGGCTACAATGATAATATTTAATGTCATAAATTCACCCATTGAGCAAACATTTACTCTTGTTCTGTGGTAGAAATTATATGAGAACTATGCTGTTAATAAGGTAAGCCTTAACTACACATGGCTGTTGAATATGTGAAAGGTGGCTAAAATGAGATGTGCTGTAAAAACCATTCCATATGCACACCATCTGGAAAACCTTGGGGGGGGGGAGAATTAAACACTTCAGTAATTTTTTCACTTCAGTAATTTTAAAATTGATTAAATATTATAACAATATTTTTGTTACATTGGATTAAATAAATATATTATTAGGTTGACGTTATCTTTTTCTTTTTAGTTTTTAATGTGGTTTCCAGAAATTGTAAAGCTATGGCTTCCATTTGTGACTTCCATGTGTGCTTGACAACAGGTATACATAATTAGAAGATACAGAACTCTATCCTCAAAGAGTATATAATCAAGAGTAGAAGTCAGGGAAGGAAGGAAAATAAATGTAGCAAGGGACTAGGTTTCATACTACAACCCCAAAGCAAAAGGTAAACAGGCATTTGTCTTAATTCTGCCGGTACTCTAAGTTCCATAGCCTCTGTCCCTCAGATAATGTGTAGGAAGGGGGAACAGTGGGAAAAACCTTCACATTTGCCAAGTAAAGGTATCTCGGTCTCCTCAGATTTATACAGCTCTATTTAAGAATTCAGTCAGTTAAAAATTTAATCCACTGTCAGAGTTGTTTCTCTTCAAACCCTCTGCTTGGCAAGATGACCTCTAGGCTTTATGGAGCTTCTGAGTTGAAGTTTCATCAGCAAAGAGGCTCAGTCGAGGTACTGAAAGCTAAGGCTCACCATATCTGCTTCATTTGCTGCCCCATGTAGCAGTCTGCCCTTAGCGGCCCTATGACAGCCCTCAGCCTCTTTGCATCAAAACTGCTCAGTCTCACCATCCAGAATTTCAGCCAAGAGTTTCCTCAGGAGCATCTGGAGCTAGTCCTTCCACATCGCTCTGGAGCTAAGGGAGCTCTGGGCCTTCTTTTTTACCTCATGGCACAATAGTTCTGGCTTATTGCTAAGCTTCATAGTAGGTTTGAGGTTGCTGGGAAGATAGTCTCTCTTTTCCAGACCCTTGGATGATTCTTAATGGGAAATGGGCTGAAAACTCTACTAGCTGAGCATGCCCATCAACAATTCCATATTGTTTCACTACAACTCTCTAAAGTTAAGAGTTTGACAACTTTACTGTGTTGCCCTTGAAAGCCTTGCTACTATGGGAGCATGCCTGCAAAGTACTTTAAAAATAGTGCAGGTGGGGTTAGAGAGATGACTCAGTGTTTAAGAGAACTTGCTGGTCTTGCAAAGGCCCCAAGGTAAGTTCCCAGCACTTACACTGAACAGCTCACAACCACCTCTAACTTCAGTTCGTGGGGATCTGACACCCTCTTCTGGCCTCTGCAGGCACTGGCATGTATGTAGTGTGCATATATATAT